TTGCATATAATACATACAATATTTCTAAAAAACATAAACCTTGACTAATTACTTTTAATAATGAGAAAATTATCATAAGCAAAATCCATAAACATCTTACAAATTCTAATGAAATATCAATTACATATTAGCTATCAGTAGGGTTAGTAAAGTTCTTAGGTTCAGAACCTAGAAACCTAGTTTTGGAACCTAGTTTTTAAAAACCAGATTCCAATTTTGGAACTTAGGTTTTTAGGTTCATAATAGGTTTTATATATAGCATATATATATATAATATTTATACATATTATATATAAGAATATTAAACAGTTCAGTTTAGTTGGTTTTCAAGTCAGTTAGAGTCAAGTTGTTTAAAGTTAACTCCAATTCGACTTTACTAATATCTTGTGAAAATTTAAATAGATACTAAACGTGAAGTTATACATATATGCTACACATCATATTGCATTAAACAACCTTACATGATTAAGTTCGGACTGAACATTTAACATCCTTATATATTACTTAAATTTTTTTTTTTGCATTGCTCTTTTATTTTATATATGATATATCAGATATCTTTATTTAGTATAAAATAGTGATCATTTCTGCTTTCATATCGCTTTTTTATTTTTATATATGATATCAGATATCTTTATTTAGTTAAAATAACAATAGCTAAATACAAAGAATTGAGTATGATTTATATGTACAGTATGTACAAACATACTGTTATTTGGGTTTTACATTATTGTTCGATACATGTGTTCATGCAATAGAAAATATAGAATAAGGTTAAGCTTATTTCTATAAGATGAGTGATGCCGAAAAGATTAATATTGCTTATACAACTTTGAGGAGTCTCTTATTATGATAAAAGCTGGTCATAAACATAATTGTTCTATAATATATCCATGATCAGGTTTTGCTATAAAGAGAAATCCTCAAAGTCATATAAGCAATATCTGATAAAATACTCTACCTTTTTAACTTCTACAAAAATTTACAGACTATGAAATATGCAAACTTCATAATACCTATATTCTATTCTTTTGTCAATCATATTATCTTACCAATTTTAATTATCTTGCTCGCTAAATTTTTTTTTTTTTTGAACTTTTAGTAAGTATCTAATTAGCATTATTATTAAAACCAGTTTTGTGTATAAATTAATATCATAGACAATTTTATAATGATAATGTAAATAAATTTTTAAAAGAAAGCAGAAATATTGGCTATGAAAAAGGTGTTATTACAATAAACAATTCTCATGACATATGATACTTTTTTAACTCTAATTTTATATTAGTATATACAGCTAGACTTCTTTAAATGCAAATCAAATTTTTAATACATGCATTTAAAGAACAATAAGGTGTGCATTTATAGAGGTCAAGAATATGTTTAGTCTAGAATTTGAAAGTGCATTTAAAGAAAAAAAGATTTTATATATATGTACATTATAAAGATGAATTGTGAAACTACTCAATATCATATTATTAAGTATATATTCTGAACAAGATTCTGATTTTAGTTATAAAGGTTATAAAGATTACGAAGGTTATGAAGGTTACGAAAGTTACAAAGATTACAAGAATGAAAATTATGGTTATGATAATTATACCCTATATAATGAACCACTAACTCCAACGTTAGAAACAAATACTAGTTCACTATCTTTAACAATTGAAATAAATACCAGTTCACCAATATCAGTGTTAAAACCAAATGCTTCTACATTAGAAACCAATACCACATCATCCTCAATATTAGAGACAGATATAATTTTATCAACAAAGCCATCATCTTTATGGAAGCATTTTTTTTTAATCATAAAAAACCAAATAGCCCAATTTGCTTTAAATGTAAACTTGAATTTTCAGACAAAACTAGAAATTCAACTTTGAAAAATCATTTAAATAGCAAAATAATATTATAGTTTCATGAATTAAAACTCAATCAAAACTAACATTTGCCCATAAAGTCCATAGCCTAAAAAGCAAAAAAAAGTACATGACATAGCTTTAATTAGTTGGATAATTGTAGACCAGCAGTTATTTTGTATCATTGAAAATAAAAAATTATTAAATTGATAAATATCTTAGATCCATGCTATAAAATTCCTGACCATCATCAAATCAAAAATATGATTATAAACTATTTCAATAAGCAAAGAACTAAAATAACCAATACTTTATCTAAAATTTCAGGAAAAGTTTCTTTAACAGCAGACATGTAGTCATCAATTATAAATAATCAAACATTTCTTGGAATTACCATTCACTATATCGATCAAGATTGGAAATTTCATCGATTCCTGTTAGATATTATTCCTTTTACTGTATGTTATACAGAAGTGAATATAGCAACTGCAATTAATAATATTCTCATAGAATTTAATCTTATAAATAAGGTATTAGCTCTTACTATTAATAATGTATCAGCAATGTTAGTTTGTGGAAAGACCTTAGCAGATAGTCTATATAGAGAATTAAATAATCAGGTTTTTCACCATTATAGATGTACTATGCATATTCTAAATTTAGCTGCACATCATGGATTAGAGATTATTGAGCAAGAAATTACTGGTATTTGATCATTAATGTCAAAAATTAAGTCATCAATAAATTTAAGTGATGAATTAAGAGATTTGTGTAGCATGCAAAAGCTAGATTATTTAAGGCCAGAACTAGATATTGCAACAAGATGAAACAGCACTTATTATATGCTAAAAAAGGTAGTTAGAATGCAAGCAGCTTTATGAATATTAGCTGTTAATCATAATGACATTCAAGATTTAATGCCTACAACAGAAATATGAAACAAAATTAAGGTATAATTTATTAATATTTAAAAGTTCTCAAGTTATCAATAATTGAGATAATATACAAACTATATGAATACATCCTCAATTATTGGAAGTATTTGAACAACTGAAGTAAAGTCACCACTCTAAAAAATTTTAGTTTATGCAGTTCACATAATTTCACAGACATTCATGTCTGTAAAGTCATGTGATAGTGTTGAATGGTGTGTGAATTTTTAAATTTTACTAGTGCATTTGTCTTGTATCTTTATTCCTTATAATTCTCATCATACAGTTCTCTATAGCCATAATATATATTCTGTATATTGCTGCAACAATATATTAGAGAACTAACATAATTCAAATATTTTAAACTTAGAAAATAATTATCTTAATAGAGCCACTTGAAAAAGCCACAAAATTATTATCTGCAACTTCTTATCTGACTATCGCAGATGTTCGATTTGTGTTTAGTAGCATCCAAGAATATCTTCAAGATTATATAGATAATGATATCTTTAGTCATTATCTTTTGGCCTTATCAATTAATGAAAAAATTAGTGAATATGAAACTATAATTGATAATGTGACAACTATTGCAATAATTCTTGACCCACAGACTAAACTTTCACTGTTTGAGATAGAAGCCCGAACTACTAATGCGATTAATAGAACCAGAGAAGTATTTGATCAATATATCACTACATCTAATAAACTAACAAATGTTTTATCTAACAGTATAAAGGATGTTATTCTCACAACATGTGATTACTTTTGTGAACTTAAATGATGTCATCATGAATCAATTTCTGAAACAAATCAGAATACTACAGATGAATTAGAGTGATACTTAGCCTTGCTTTGTGATGAGAATGTTACTTCTTTGTTGTGGTGGCAGGTGCATGTAAAAAAGTTTTCTATACTAGCTTGCATAGCTAGAGATTACTTGTCAATTTAATCGATCAGTATAGCTTGTGAACAAGCTTTCTTGATAGCTGCTAATACTATATTACGATCTTGAAACAGGCTCAATTCAGAAACCTCAAGGGCATCATTGTGTGCTAAAAGTTGGATTGAAAATAAGGTGGTTGTAGAAAAAATGGTTAGCATTTAAATTTAAAATTTAATATAGACAAAAAAAAAAAATTTAATTAATATAATGTTTTTTTTATTAGGCTGAATTTGTTTGAATTAAACCAGAATAAGGATAAAATCATAGAAATGAATCTTTTATTTTTTCATTATAAAATAGTGTAATCTAAAGTTTCATTTACCCTTTTTTTTAATTTCTGTATATTATCTAACTTTTTAAATATTGCAGATCATATGAACAATTAAGTGTGGTCTGTTCACAATACAATTTTTTTTATTTTGAAATATTTTATTCAACATTGATTTATGAAGAACAATATAAAAACTAAGTAGAAGTACAATTAAATTAGAATTAATGAATAAATTTTATTCATTAGATTTTATTCGAAAAATAATTAAGTAAGCGAGATTATTGAATTCTCAATTTTTAAGTGTATAATTAGAGATGTTATCCTGTTCCAACCAATTAGTTTGTGCTTTAAAACCTATTGAAACACTGCTTCAGAGCATTTACACAAAACTGACTCTTGAACTTAGTTCATACAATATACAAATAATTATGCTTGCATGAGCTAGTAAAACCTGCTATAACTATTACTTTTTATTAAAGAAAAAACATGAAATTTGCTTATATTTCACTTCTTTACACAGTTACACTTAAAATGAGATTTAATAGTAAAGACAAATTAGTGATAAAATGACATTACAACTTTGCAATAAATCTTATTCAGATCTCAGAGATTTTCTTTATAATTGGCTAGAGTTAAGAGAACTGAGAAGAAAGCCTTTCAACTCATTATGAAATTTTCAGAAATGCCTAGCTCCCAGTTTGATTGATCCAAATTTTAGGTTGCATATCCAGAAATTGAACCTAAATCAGGTTCATGTCTGGATATTAAAATTTTATTAACTGACTATTAATAATAATAAAAATTTTAGTCTAAATATAGTAACAGGCTTTTAAAGATCTAACATTTTTATTCATTAAAAAAGTTATATAAAAATGATAATTACGATTGTTACCTTTTTATGTATAAATTTTATTACAATAGTTATATAAAGCTTATTTATGCAGACCAAAATATCATCATAAAACATATTATAAAATTTATCATAAAATATTTATTTATATTGTAAACAAATATTACATCTTGAGTTGAAATGTTCTATTGTGATTAATCATATTAAAAATTTTTTTAATTTGATAATTTTTAAAATGCAAAAATGCAAGAGGACTTACATATCTAGGTAAATAGTAATAAAGATGATGCTGAAGAAACTAAAAAGTTTGATAAATTCAGAACTGCAATTATCTTACAGAAAAAAATGAATTAAAACATTTAAAAATACAATTTGGCTATTTACAATTTACCCTATTCGTCACTAAAATAAAAGCTGACATAGTAGCATCAGTGCCAAAATTTCATCTTACTTAAATGACAACGGTTTTGAACCTGTTATATTTCTATCAATTGGGTTTCACATAATGCTTATCTTCAACCTTAAACAAACCAAGCATTGATAAATGGAGCAATATGTATGGTTGTTGATATTTTATATGAACTAAGAATAACTCTATCTTAATTACCTACAGAATTATATTTCGAATAGACAACTATACAGGCCCAATACTCTCTATATTGAATGATAATCAAGTGATACTGATTTGGCCTGTATAAATCTGAGAAGAGAAATCAGGAATTTGTTCTTATATTCAGTTTTTTCTGTGCCTTGCTTGAACAATTACAATTCATAAGTCACAAGGCTTAACATTGCCACAAGCAATAATAAATCTTGGAGATAAGAAATATGTGGCAGGTCTTACATTTGTAGGCATATTAATAGGTCGTATTCTTGTTGATCTTCTTTTCAATAGTGCTTTTCTACAGATTATAAACATTAGAGCAAAATTCACAGTTGCAACAAAGATTAAAGGAAAAACAAAGACTTCTTCGCTATAAATTTATTGTAAAATGTAATTTAAATTCTAAGGCAATTATAATATTTAAAATTTTAATATATAATTAATTTATAAATTGTAATTAAGACCTAAGAAGTAAGGCTTCAGCTCACAAATCACTGCTGTTTTTCTAGTGATAGTACAGTTGTACCTGGATTATATCCCCTTTTTATTTCATATATTTTTTAAATTTTTTGGAGATATAACTAAGATAAAACATCAGAAGAGATATAACCTAATGGGGATATAACTTAGATATAACTGTAATTAAAATTCTAAAGCTAATTAAATATAGAGCATTTTGCTCATCTAATTGATTTCAGAGGAGTTTAATTATGATATATAATGAAAGGACTGCAAAAACTTAGATACAGTCTTCAAACAGAGTCAAACTGAGTTCAAATAAATGAGATAACATCCTTATACTTGATAAATGCATTCTTATTATTCTCTAAATGCATATGTTTAAGAAAATTTAGTTATGGTATGCATTTAGAAAAGACTTTATGGCATGTATTTAAAAGGTCTAACTATATTTAAATTATTGCATGGGAAATATGAAAGTCTATGGGTATTTGTAAATAAAGCTTCAATCCTATTTTTGACAGGCAATTAGGATTATATTAAATCTGAATTAAATCCCTATTAGTTTATATATAAAGCTAGCTTTTTATCCTTAGATCTATTATTTAAGTTTTTTGACCAATTTGAGTAAAATCTCTGATCTGATTATTTGAATCTGTCTGGATTTAAAAATCAATTTGAATTGTTAAATTAAGGGTCGAAGCTCTATTTGTACTGTAATTATGCTAAGATTGTTTAAAGACTGAATAAAAATAAAATACTATAAATTTTATATTTGAACCAGGTTCTAGAACTTAGTTCGAACCAATCTAGATTTGGAACCTAGTTGTTAGAAACCAAGTTCTTAGGTTCACAAAATGGAACCTAAAGGTTCTGGAACCAAAACTGAATCTAAACCAACCTATCTAATCCTAGCTATTAAATATTAATAAAATAATACTGATTACTATCCACTTCAACAAATTAATCTTGTTTCTTGTCCAGGCTGTCAACTTAACTCACAATGAATAACTACATCATGCACTATTAATACTTTATCTATTACATTTGCTCAATTTTTTAGTTGAATTATTTCAAACTTAGTTAAAATAAATGCAAACTATTTAGACCTTCTCAGCTTTGTTGCAATTAAATAGCCTTTGCCAACTTCTTTATCACTATCATTGTTTTCTATTCCTATCTCTAACTCCATCTCATCTACAATTTTTGAAGCAAGCAAAGCAACCAACAAACTTAACTAAATATCTTCTAATAACCTACTATACAACTCATTTAACTTTTATACTGATGGTTCAGTAATTGGTATAAGTACAAATAACTGTATTATGGGTATTGGCTAAGTCCAAGTAGATTCTAATAACCAAGTTATTCACAAATTCACTGCCAAAGTTCACTTTTGGCTATCATCTTACAAGGCTGAACTTTTCTTTATTCTGTCTGCTATTTCAACTACCTCTCGAAATTTTACAATTAACATCTATACAGATTCCTAATTCATAATATCAAAATTTATTCAACTTAATCAATTATCTTTAAATCCTAATAAACTCTTTAAATTTAACTCTTGGCCATTATGGCATATCTTACTAAATATTATTAAATTATATAAACTAAATATTATCTTTTATAAAGTTCAAGTTCACTTAAACAATACTCTTAACAACCTAGCAAATTTACTTGCTAAGCAACATACAAATGAACTTTCATTACACTTTAACTACATAAATATTCACAATCCATATCATTTATTATTCTTTGAAACAGAAAAATTTCTGTTGAATTTTCTACCAGATACTTTGTTAAAAGTATCTGTAAAGCTTACAACCTTGCACTATGGTCATTACAAAAATGAAATAATAAATGGACTCCATTAGCCTACTATATTGACTGGAATTCAACCTGGCTATACTTTAATCATAATCAAAAATCTACTCACAATCTTACTAACTTTAAACTTAACTAATCCAAATTATTTAAAATTAAAATACTTCTTAATAAACTACCTACTCAATACCACTATCATAAAATCTACTTTCTAGCCTTTCATGATGCCAATTGCTTTTATTGCAATTCAATTATGTTACCATTACATTGGTGTACTTGTGCCAATGCTTTTTTGCTTAATAGCATTATTTCTAATGCAATAACTAACTATGTAAATTTAGCTAATTTAGACCTTTCTAACAACAGAAGTAAAAAACTTATTCAAAAAATTAAAGACCATTCAGCTTTTTAATAAACATCTCTTTTTCCATTTTTATACTATCTAGAAATTACTCTTAAAAGTCTTATTCCTCTATCTCTAATTAAAACTATTCAGGATCTAGAAGTCTCATACAAACTAGCATCAACAATCATGATTAATATTTTGCTTAAAATTAACAAACAAATTTATAAACAATTATAGAAACCCTACTATACTAATTTTTCAAATTGAAAAAAACAACAACAAATAATATATACACATACTGAGCAACAAATATCATCCTTTCACAGTAGAAATAATATACATACTCATCAAAATTTTATATATTCTTGTTTTTGTAGTCAACCTGACCAACTTCATTCACATACTGGAACCTGTCCACTTGTTGAATAGGTCTTTAGAAAAATTAGTATTTGGGCCACTTTGTGAATTAAGTATCACACAATCT